GCAACCTCGGGGTCCCAGTGTCCCACCAGCCCTCCAGACTCCTCTTCTCGGCAAGCACAGCACCAGCACCCAGAAACCTCTTAGGCTGACAACGGAGGGTACAGCCGACGGTGCTGCGCCCCGGGCAGAGGCTGACGCGGGGTCCCAGGGGCGTTGTGGCCTCCAGCATCAGCAGCCACCCAGCCCCACGCAGCGCCGATGCCCACCACGTCTGCCCACGGGGTCAGGGTGGCAGCCACCTCCCGCCACAACCCTGCCCTGGGCGCCCCTACCACATATGCTGTCTGGCAGTACATCCGGATGGGGGCCAGGGTCCGGGTGGGACCCTCCTGAGGGCCTCCCAGATGCCAGGGTCAACCTGGGCAGCCGGGCCGTGTCTCAGGTCTGCTTCCTGTCAGTCGGGGAGCTGCTGAGGGTGGAGGGCAGTGGGGTCCTCGGCCCCCCGGAAGCTTAGCACACGCCCCCAGCACCCTCACAGAGGCCGGACACGCAGACTGAGTCCAAGGTCTGGCTGAAAAGCCCATTTCTGCCCCCAGGCCTCCAGCCTGGTAACTCTGGGTCCACCAGCGAGCGCAAGCATGGCCCCGGGCAGAGGTCCCCAGGGCGTGCGGGAGGGCAGGGCCGACCCCTCCCCATCCTGCCAGGCCCAGCAGGGACACGGGCCTGGCATGGGCAGAGCGGGGTGAGTCTCCCCACCTTTCCCTGAGCCCTGCGCCCGCCACGTCCTCTCGCCACCACAGGGAGGAGACTCGGGCACTGCGGAGCACTTCAGAACCCCGAGGACCCCCCGCCCCACAAGAGGCCCGTGGAGCAGAGCCGGGGACCAGCGGGGGGCTCCTGCAAGCCTGGACTCCAGGGTCCCCACTCAGGGCCAGCAGTGCCAGCCGCTCAGAGGACGAGCTTGGCTACGTCGGACAGAGCAAAGGCGGCTGGGCGGCTCCTGAGATGGGCAAGGAAAGCCCCTCCCAGACGAGGGACAGGGCCCAGGAGGTGACAAGGCAGGACAACAGGGGACTCTGCGCGGCCAAGCGCTCCAGCACTGAGCTCAGCGGCAGGAACTCTGCAAGGCGGCTCACCGTGGGGCCTCGACAGTCTGCAACCGTCTGTGAAGGGCGCGTGACCGCCAATGCCGTGAGAGTCCTGGGGCACGAGGAGGAAATGGGCGGCTGGGGGTGGAGACGGGGCAGGCGAGGACTCTCGGCCACATCCGTAGGGATTCTTCAGTGACCCAGATTACCTCAAGGAAAAATGCTAAAAACAAAACCAAAACCAGAGACAGAAAGACAGCACAGCGGGTTGGGTGCTGGCCTTGCATGCGGCAGACCCGGGTTCGATCCCTGGCACCCCATCCGGTCCCCGCGCCCTGCCAGGAGTGATTCCTGAGTCCAGAGCCAGGAGTCAGCCCTGAGCATTGCCGAGACAAACAAACAAACGAAACCAACCCCAAAGCAGGTGCCGCCAGGAGGCCCCTCCCTGGAACCCGCCCCAGACCGACCTTGGGACGAGGGGCTCCAGGAGGGGTCAGAGTGCCCTCGCAGGGCACAACGCTGACGCAGGAGAGGGCCAGGCGCCAGCAGGAGAGCGGGGGCAGCTCAGGGCACGCAGGCTGCCCCAACAAGCGTCCGCGAGGGGGCAGTTGGCGGGAAGCAGGTCTGAGTGCGGGGTCAGCCAAGAGAAGGGCCGCAGCTCTGGGGACGGCTGCACGGCCACACAGCGGCGCTCGAGGGGACACTGGCCAAGTGGCCTGCAGGGTGGCCTGCAGAAGCGTCCGGAGCTCAGCAGATGGTGCGGGGGCAGGTGCGCTGACCTGACCCACCCCCTCCCCACTCCCTGGCCGGGAGGAGGCTTGACACGGCCTGGACTCCGTGGGACCAGCGTGACTTCGGGGCTCAGGAGGTGGCAGGAATCAGGACGGGGCGAGAGCCCGTGAGAAGTGGGGCAGCTGCCGAGACGTGTCACCCGGGAGACATGCAGCCCTGGGACCGCGGCAGCGCACGGACCCCCAGGAAGACGGGTCCGGGTCACAGTCTCCTGTCACAACTATGCGCGGGGACAGGGTGGACGGCAGTGGCCCACAGACAGACAAGGGGCTGCAGGACCAGAGCAGCAGTCAGGGACGAGCAGGCCCAGCCCCGGGGCAGAGCGGCCGGTAGCTGGGCCAGGAGGCACGTGGACAGGCAACAGACTGGCACGTCTGGACTGTGGGCTCGGCCCGCCCGGGTCACCCCTGCAGGCCTCACACGCGCCAGCCACGTTCCCAGGCGGGCCTGGCTGGAAGACGAGGGGCAGCAGAGCTGGTCCCCGCAGCACGTGGCCCCCCCCGCGAGAGAAGCAGCTGAGGGTCCCAGGAAGGGGTCTCGCCCTGGCCCACACCCACTGCCCGCACTGGCGGTGTCACTGAGTGCCCCCAGCCAGGGACACGTGGACAGCATCCAACGCTGTGAGGTGAGCAGGCCCGGCCTCCTGCGCGGGGGACACAGTCCCTCGCCACGGCACGTAGGGCATGTGCCGTTTCACGCACGGGGCACGTGTGCTCTGGGGCAGAGCCAGGCTGCCACCATGCCTGGACACGTGTGGCCTGAGAGGGGCGCAGGCGAGAGCTCTCAGAACAAACTGGGAACACACGCGGGGCGGGGTGGGGTGTGAGGGGCCCAGAGCCACACCTGGAGCCTGCAGGGGAGGGCACGGGGGAGGGGCCGGCGAGGGGCAGGCGAGGGGCACCGGTGGGGGCACGAGGGGGGGCTCTTCCGCGAGGAACAGCAGGAGCCGCCTGGGCCTCGTGGCCCCAGGACCCCCGCGGCCCGAAGTCCCAAGCCCACACACAGCCCCGACAGCCCGTTCCGCTCATAGCTGCAGTGTAAGACGCCAACGGGAACCCAGGCCTCGGGGTCAGAGGGGACAGCGCTTCCTCCCGTGTGTGCCGGCCGGGACCGAACCCGGGCCTCTCACAGGCCGCAGCCGTGACGGAGACGTTTCGAGCTAAAGACTGTGGCCGTGCTCCGCCCTTCACGCCCTACCGAGGCCACCAGTTGCCCCCCACGAGCGGCTCTCCAACACGGCCACGACTCCAGAACACAGAAACCAATTTCTTAACTATCTGACTTTCAGTAGAAATACTTCCAGGGTCAATAGGTAAAATAGCAGAAATCCAAAACCAACATTTAATTCTTGAACCCAGCTGTAGAAAGCAAATCACTTCACAATGCTTTTTCAGCATGTCTGATTTGGGGGGGGTAAACTCTAAATAATAGTGGTGAATCTTTTATTGAAACAATCTAATCAAAGCAGATAGAGTGTTAACTAGAATTCATCTGCCTCACAGGGACGGGGAGGGGTGGGGGGTGGGGTTTTATTGGGGTTCTTCATGGGAAAAAATAAGTATTGGTAAAGGGAAATGTGTTTGATATTTGCATGACTGAGACATAAACCTGAAAGCTTTGTAACCTTTCCCACAGTGATTCAATAATTAAAAAAAAAAAAAAAAAAAAAAAAAAAAAAAAAAGACTGTGGCCGTGAGTCGACTCCAAAGGCTCCCGCATCGCTCTGCTAACAAGGCGCTCACAGGGGCTGGCTGCGGCCGAGATACGGGACCAGGGGGCAGGGAGAGACGGCAGCGGGAGGGTTGACCTGGGCTCAATCCCGGAACCACGTATGGCTCCGAGCACTACCAGGTGTGATCCCCGGACACTGACGGATGTGGCCCCCAAATCAAATAAATGAATCAAGTACAATAATGGATTCCTACGCGTGTCATTTACTTTCTGGGGCAGGCACTCCTGGCAGTGCTCAGGGCCGCACTGTCTCTGGCCCGCGCTGAAGAGCAGCACTTGGGGCTGGAGAGACCCAATAGGCTGAGCCTGGGGCCTGTGCCGGCACCCCCGACCCCAGGCGCCCCAGCACAGCTGGGAGCAGCCCCCACCCCAGGGAGCTAGAGAACAGGGTGTCACACAGACCCTGCAAACGTGCCCGGCCCACCTCATAACTACTTCCTGCACCAAACGCACGCAGAGGAAGTTAACGGAAGCACAGGCCCATCTGCCCGGTGGGCCCGGGCGGGGCTGGGGTGGTGGGACCCCGTGACCACGGCCCAGCCCAGTGCTGCTTCCTGGAGGCGGCCGCAGCCCTCGAGGGGCGGCCGGCCTCACACAGGAGATGAGATACTTTCAAAAGAAGCATGTGGGGTCGGAGACCCGGTGCAGAGGGGAGGGAACTCTTGCAAAGGCCGACCTGGGCTCAATCCCCGACACCCCACAGGGTTCCCTGAGCACCGCTGGTGTGTGGCCCCAAAACTAAATAAAATAACTTAATTAAACAAAATAAAAATACTGGGGCTGGAGAGACAGCACAGCCGGTAGGGCGTTTCCCTTGCACGCGGCCGACCCGGGTTCGATCCCCAGCATCCCATATGGTCCCCCGAGCACCGCCAGGAGTAATTCCTGAGTGCATAGCCAGGAAGAACCCCTGTACATCGCTGGGTGTGACCCAAAAAGCAAAAAAAAAAAAATACATAAAATAAAAATACTGCCCAGCTTTTTGCTTCTGTTCTGTGTTTGTTTTGGGGCGACACTCAGTGGATTTTCAGGGTTCACTACTCCTGGCTCTGTGCTCACAGATCAGTCCTGGCAGGCCCGGGACCCTATGAGGTTCTGAGTATCGAATCGAGGTCAGCTGTGTGCCTGGCAAACGCCCTCCCCGCTGAACCCTGGCTGTTCTGGAAGGAAAAGTCCTCCCCAAAGCCAGGACTGCCCTCGTCCCAGCCCCCCGCGCCCTGTCCAGCCCACGCAGGCCCACCGCCTCGGAGCCCCGGCAGTTCCGGCCTGGGGCACAGCCCCACCCCCACACTACGCACACGACTCCCAGGCTCCACCCCGACTCACACCCGCCTCAGAAGGCCGGAGGCGGCGAGAGCACTGTCCCCCGAGCACTCCCCCGCCAGGGGTGGGTGGGCACCGCAGGCTGACCCACGAGCTCTGAATCCCAGAAAAAGAGAATGGACTTACTAGCATGCTTGTCTGCAAGCATTATAAGCGTGTTGGAAATATCGCGTCGTCTATAAAAGCACACTACTTTGGCTTCCACGTTGCCCGTTGCAGTCTAAGAGATAAGAAAAGTCAGAGTCATCTCACTGCACATGGCTGGCACCGCCACCACAGCCCTCTCACACCCTCGCCAACTCGCAGCGCGCCACTCAGGGAACCCGCACGGGGGCTGTCCACACAGCCCCTCCCGCCCCCGAGCACCGGCGCGAGGCCAGTGCAGCGCTGGCCGGTCCTCTCCCAGGCCCCACGCCGGGCCGCGGTGCCCTCGGCTGCACGGGGCAAGGCAGAGGGGCCAGACGGGGCGTGCACTCTGCAGCTGGGAATCTGCGCCCCCCGGGGGCACCCGATGCCAAGCCCTAAGCTCTCAACACGCCAAGTGCGGCCTTGGTGGCCCAGTGCTGACACGCGTGCTTGGAAATGCTGGTGACGGCGCGGGGCTCCACGGGCCCGGCCCCCGAACAGGAGTTCACGTGCCACGGCCATGGTTGGCACAGCAGGCAGGGCGCCCGCCTCAAGCCTGGCACCGCACATGGTCACCCGAGCACTGCCAGGAGTGAGCCCTGGGCACAGACAGGCAGGCAGAAAGAAAGGAAAAGAGAGAGAGATAAAGGGAGGAAAAAAGAAAGAAAGAAAGAAAGAAAGAAAGAAAGAAAGAAAGAAAGAAAGAAAGACAGACAGACAACCAATCCCAGAGAGGCCCTGGGCCCGGAAGATGTGCAGGGCACAGGGGTCGGTCCAAGCCAAAGCGAAACAGAAAAGACGACACAGCTGACGATGAAATGCGAATTGCTCCGTCATTCCAGTTTCAAACAAATTGCAGAAAGTTACCAGAGTCTCTGGGCTTGGCGGGGGAGGTAACACCCATGCAGAGGGGACGGGGGCGTCACTGGCCTTGCACACGGCTGACCCAGGTCCAGCCCCCAGCTCCACCGATGGTACCCCAAGTCCTGACAGGGGCAGAGCCAGGAGAAGGAAGGAGGAGGGAGGAAGAAGAGGGGAAGGAAAAGGGAAACGCCGCCTCCTGAAGCTGGAGCCCACCAGGCCAGACCGAGTGCTTCTGCCCCAGACTGTCCCCGCGCTGCAGGGCCACAGCAGGGTCAGGGGGCAGGGGAGCTCCGAGGAAGCATCTGAAAGGTCCCGGCTCGAGCACCAGCACCACCTCCAAGGGGCTTCGGGGGGCAGAGAGAAGGCCCTGGGGACCACACAGTCCGAGCACCACCAGGAGCAAACCCAGAGCTGATCCCTGGGTACCGAGTCCCAAGCACCACCAAGACAAACCCAGCATTGAGCCCCAAGTACCGAGCCCTGAGCACCACCAGAGGCAAACCCCAGCACTGGGCCCCGAGTACCGAGCCCTGAGCACCACCAGAGGCAAACCCCAGCACTGGGCCCCGAGCACCGAGCCCTGAGCACCACCAGAGGCAAACCCCAGCACTGGGCCCCGAGCACCGAGCCCTGAGCACCACCAGAGGCAAACCCCAGCACTGGGCCCCGAGCACCGAGCCCTGAGCACCACCAGAGGCAAACCCCAGCACTGGGCCCCGAGTACCGAGCCCTGAGCACCACCAGAGCCAAACCAAAGCACTGGGCCCTGAGCACTAAGCACCAAGCACTGCCAGGAGTGGCCAAAGAACAAAAACCAAACTTCCAGGGTGGAGAACTGGCCCAGCAGCACACCGCGGTGTGCACATGTGAGCTCCGGGTTCTCCCTGAGCACTGCCGCCCGGGCCCAGGACCAAGCCCGTCTGAGAAGGCGCCTCGGGCTCACAGCAGCTGGGAGGTCACTCTGCTTCTTACTCACAAACGGGCTCTTCGGGCCCACCACACCCCCGCAGCCCACTTACAGTTCCAGGGCTCCCTGCACTGGGTAGGACCCCCACATGCAAACACACACGCACACGTGTGCACGCACGGACACGCGTACTCACTCACACCGGCACACACCGTAACATCCACGTGCAGCTCACACTCACTCACACCGCCTGAAACAGGACAAAGGGGCGACCTCAGGGTCCTACACTCACGGTCTTCGAGAACCGCTGCAGGAGGAACCTTCCGGAAGCTGCGGCAGCGCCAGTGTGGGCTAGGAGAGGGCGAGGGGCCGCAGAGCCTGACGGCACGTGGCCGAGCACTGGACGCTGCAGACCACGGGGCGTAGGACACACCCGCCCCCAGCTGCCTCAGCACAGGGGCCCCGAGCCGCTCGGCCCTCGCCCCGGCCCTGCAGGGGTCAGCGGCCCTTGCAGGCCAGACTCAGGAGGGACAGAGGGAAGACGGACGCTGGCCGGGCTGTCGGTGGGAGCTTCCGTGCCAGAAGGCTCGGGAGAGGCCCGAGCTCCTGCCCGGGCAGCACAGCCACAGTCACACTGACCACGGCTCTCGCGGCCAGACCGGTCCACCCGGGGCGTCTCTGTGCTTCGGAGCAGCGGGCAGGGTGGCCCAGGAGACTGGGCAGGGCTGTCTGGCAGGTGCGTCCACCCAGGGGTCACCCTAGAGCGTTGTTCCAGGGCCCGGGGGCCAGAGTAGGGTGAAGGCACCCGCACGCCTGCCCGGTCCCATCCTCTGGGCACCGGGAGTCACTCCTGAGCCAAGCCAGTAACAGTCCCAAGGACCCTCACACAACACGCAGGTACATCTATGTTCACAGGCATGCTCAGACATGTACACACACGTACACAGTCACGTGTGTACATGTTCCTGCATGCACGCCTGGTCGCACAAATGTACTCACCTTTGGACATACACGTGCACACATCACACAAACACCTTCATGCACACATTCGGCCACACACATGCTTGTGACGCACACGTGTGCACACACATATACAAACTCACATGCACAGACACACGTACCCCCCCACGCACACACGCTCACACACATGCCCCCCCGCACACGGACACACACTTCTCCCAGGCCTGCATTCTCCGTCACATGTCACTGCCCGGGACACAGCAGCAGTGCCCACAGCCCGTGTCTCTGTGGTGGTGGTCCCCAGGCTGCCAGACGCCGCCCAGGCTCCGTGCTGGCGAGGGCACCACGGTCACCTCCAGCCGTGCTGGGGATCGAACTGGGGTCCCGCCCCTGACCCCTGATTCCCCCCAGGCCCGAGACACCAGGACTTCGGGGGGGACACCAGCAGCCCGCAGGGGGTTCTGCTGCCCGGGCCCCCCCAGGCTGCACGTTGAGCCCACTGGGCCCAGCATGCTGCCACGTGGCTCCAGGCTGTCCCACTGCCACCAGGCTCGACCTGAGTGTCCAGGGCCGACCAGGCCTCACAGACTGAGCCACGAGCCCATGGCACCGTGCAGTTCGCCCGGCCAGGATGAGGCCGGCTCTCCCCTCACCGCGGGGCTTCCTCCTCGGACAGGAAGAGGAAATACTTGACTCAGAAAAGGAAGAGAGGAAGGGACGCGAGCCCGGCGTCCTAGGCCAGGCACCGCGGCCAACGGCCACTTGCCCCGGAAGGCTCAGCAGTACCCGTCAGCGCAACGGGCAGGCGCCCGAGACCGTGGTCAGGGTCAGCTCCCAGCTCGGAGGGGCTGCAGCCTACCCTCTCCGGGGCCTCTGCCTGGACCCCCGGGGCCTCTGCCCAGACCCCCGGGGCCCGCAGCCCACCCTCCCGGGGCCGTAGCCCACCCTCCCCAGGGCCTCTACCCAGACTCCTGGCAGCCCACCCTCCCTGGGATATCTGCCTGGACTCCTGGGGCCGGCAGCCCACCCTCCCTGGGGCCTCTGCAGTTCCAGGCCTCTGCAGTTCTGACCTCTGCCCAGACCCCCGGGGCCCGCAGCCCACCCTCCCGGGGCCGGCAGCCCACCCTCCCCGGGGTCTCTGCAGTTCCAGGCCTCTGCAGTTCTGACCTCTGCCCAGACCCCCGGGGCTGCAGCCCTCCCTCCCTGGGGCTTCTGCCTGGACCCCCGGGATCCGCAGCCCTCCCTCCTGGGGACCTCTGCCTGGACCCCCAGGTCTCTGCTCGGACCCCCGGGGCTTGCAGCCCACCCTCCCAGGGCCTCTGCCTGGACACCCGGGACCCGCAGCCCATCTTCCCCAGGCCTCTGCCCGGACCCCCGGGGCCCGCAGCCCTCCCTCCCCGGGGCCTCTGCCCGGACCCCCAGTCTCTGCTCGGACCCCTGGGGCCTGCAGCCCACCCTCCCAGGGCCTCTGCCCGGACCCCCGGGACCTGCAGCCCATCTTCGCCAGGCCTCTGCCCGGACCCCCGGGGCCCGCAGCCCTCCCTCCCCGGGGCCTCTGCCCAGACCCCCAGGGCCCGCAGCCCACTCTACCGGGGCCTCTGCCCGGACCCCCGGGGCCTGCAGCCCTCCCTCCCCGGGGCCTCTGCCCGGACCCCCAGGGCCCGCAGCCCACCCTACCGGGGCCTCTGCCCGGACCCCCGAGGCCCGCAGCCCTCCCTCCCCGGGGCCTCTGCCCGGACCCCTGTACCTTGCTCAGCTCCTCGATGCGCCGGATCAGGTAGGGGTTGCTGGAGGAATTCTCGAAGTACACATAGTCTGCAGTGAGAGGGAGGGGGGCTCTGAGCCCTCGCACCCCAGAGCAGCCCGCGAGCCCCTGGCATTCCCCCAGACCGGCAGCCCCCACGCCTGTCCCCCGCGTCCTTCCTCCCAAGGGGCCAGGCCACGGCCGTCAGCTGGCCGGCCAGGACCCAGTGCCCAGCGCGGCCGCCCGGGGAACAGGGAGCTGGGCCGGGCGACAGCCCCACACCGGGCCGGAGAGACGGGACAGACGGGGCAGGGCACGGCCGGGGTCCGGGCCCGGGGGACACGCCAGGGGACAGGCCGTGGGGGCTGGGGATACGGGACATGGGGCTGGGGGACACAGCCAGGGCCCACGGGGTGGGAGGCCGGGCCGGGGGCAGGGGCCAGACAGGGGCCGGGGGCAGGGGCCAGACCGGGGCCGGGGACAGGGCCGGGGCCGGGGCAGGGGCCAGACAGGGGCCGGGGGCAGGGGCCAGACCGGGGCCGGGGACAGGGCCGGGGCCGGGGCAGGGGCCAGACAGGGGCTGGGGGCAGGGGCCAGACCGGGGCCGGGGGCAGGGGCCAGACAGGGGCCGGGGGCAGGGGCCAGACCGGGGCCGGGGGCAGGGGCCAGACAGGGGCCGGGGGCAGGGGCCAGACCGGGGCCGGGGGCAGGGGCCAGACCGGGGCCGGGGGCAGGGGCCAGACCGGGGCCGGGGGCAGGGGCCAGACCGGGGCAGGCGCTGGGCCGGGCCGGGGGCAGGGCCGCGCGCCGGGCTCGCCCCTTCCCCGCCCCCGGCCCCCGCCCGCCCGCGGCCCTGACCTGTCCCCCGCCGGCGCGGCCTGGCCGGGAGGGTCCGGCGGGCGGGCTGGGCCGGCGGTGCCAGGCCGGGAGGCGCCCCCCGCCCGCCGCCCGCCCGCCCGGCGCCTCCTACCTCCGACCCGGTACATGTTGGCCGCCATGTCCGCGGGGGAGGCGGCGGCGGCGGCGGCGGAGGAGGAGGAGGAGGAGCAGGAGGAGGAGGAGGAGGAGGAGGAGGAGGAGGAGGAGGCAGGTGCAGGGGCGGGGCGGGCGGGCACAGCGGAAGGGACGCGCGCTGCGGCCGGCGGGGGCCGGGGGCGGCCGGGCGGGGCGGGGCGGGGCGGGGCGGGGCGGGGCCAGGCGGGGCGGGGCTGCCCGGCTGGGGAGGGGGCTGGCCGGGGGCCGCTGGAACAGGGGTCGGGGGGCTTGGCTGGGACAGGATCGGGGGGCTTGGCTAGGAACGGGGTCCGGGGGGCTTGGCTGGGACGGGGTCCAGGGGGCTCTGCTGGGACAGGGGTCCTGGGAGTCTCTGCTGGGACGGGGTCCAGGGGTCCGGGGGGGCTTTGCTGGGACGGGGGTCCTGGGGAGTCTCTGCTGGGATGGGGTCTGGGGGACTTTGCTGGGACGGGGTCTGGGAGACTTTGCTGGGACGGGGTCCAGGGGTCTTTGCTGGGATGGGGGTCCGGAGAGTTTTCTGGGATGGGGTCTGGGGGGCTTTGCTGGGATGGGGTTCTGGGGGGCTTTGCTGGGATGGGGGTCCGGGGGGCTTTGCTGGGACGGGGGTCCTGGGGAGTCTCTGCTGGGATGGGGGTCCCGGAGGCTTTGCTGGGACAGGGGTCCTGGGGAGTCTCTGCTGGGATGGGGTCTGGGGGACTTTGCTGGGACGGGGTCCAGGGGCTTTGCTGGGATGGGGGTTCGGGGAGTTTTCTGGGACGGGGTCTGGGGGGCTTTGCTGGGACGGGGTCCAGGGGGCTTTGCTGGGATGGGGGTCCTGGGGAGTCTCTGCTGGGACGGGGTTCCGGGGGGCTTTGCTGGGATGGGGGTCCGGGGAGTCTTTGCTGGGACGGGGTCCGAGGGGCCTTGCTGGACTGGGGACCTGGACAAGTCCACACTAGCCCTGAGAATGTTTGCATCACACGCACACATTATTATCGCACACGTGCATACTTCCATGCACACGCATACATGTGTACATATTCTAGGCCCAGACTCATACATGCACAGACTCACATACACACACTCAATGCACATGTACAAACATACGCACTCTCAGATGTGTGTACGCACACACAGTACACACATACTCAATGCATACACACTCACACACATACACACCCACAACACATACATACACTCACACATACGTGCATAGTCACACACTCGGACACACACTCACACCTGCTGTGTGTGGGGGCCCAGCAGACAGGTGTGCGTGAACTCGGAAGTTGCCCACCCAGCGCATGGACAGTGCCCCTGCCCAGTGGCCGGAGACCCCCAGGCCAGGTGCATCCAGTCTGTTGCCATGTCAACCCCTTGCAGCCCCCCAGGGGCCCTCAGCTGCCCCTGGGGCACCCCGCTCGGCCCCTGGCCTCAGCGCCTGGCCGGGCACGCACCCGTGGGAGCAGGGGCCCAGCCCGAGAGCCAGTGCTCCTGGAAAGCGTTTCCAGCCAGGGGGACGGACACCGGCCTGTGTCACCTGGACTTGCCGCGGCCCAGGTGTCCGTACAATGGGAATGAATACCCTGGGATGGAAGGAGACCTCGTCCGCACCAGGAGCCCCGAAAGCTCCCTGTGTGGGGCGGGGGCAGGGGGCGGGGGTCACCTATCGAACTCCAAGGAGTTTCCTGTTCCCTGAGGTTCAGGAGCCAAATCAGCAGCCTGGCAGCGGCCACCAGCTTCCACCAAGAGCAGGGGGAGGGCAGAGGGCAGACAGGGAGAGGGCAGGGGAGAGTAGGGGAGAGCAGGGAGAGGGCAGGGGAGAGTAGGGGAGAGCAGGGAGAGGGCAGGGGAGAGTAGGGGAGAGCAGGGAGAGGGCAGGGGAGAGTAGGGGAGAGCAGGGAGAGGGCAGGGGAGAGTAGGGGAGAGCAGGGAGAGGGCAGGGGAGAGCAGGGAGAGGGCAGGGGAGAGCAGGGGAGGGCAGAGGGCGGACAGGGAGAGGGCAGGGGAGAGTAGGGAGAGCAGGGAGAGGGCAGGGGAGAGCAGGGAGAGGGCAGGGGAGAGCAGGGGAGGGCAGAGGGCGGACAGGGAGAGGGCAGGGGAGAGTAGGGGAGAGCAGGGAGAGGGCAGGGGAGAGCAGGGAGAGGGCAGGGGAGAGCAGGGCAGGGGAGGACAGGGAGAAGGCAGGGGAGAGTAGGGGAGAGCAGGGGGAGGACAGGGAGAGGGCAGGGGGAGCAGGGGAGGGTGGGGGGAGCCGGTGGGAGAGCAGGGAAGGGCAGCAGGAAGGTGAGGAGAGCCTGGAGAGAGCAGGGGAAAGAGCAGGGGGGAGGGCAGGGAGCGCAGCAGGGGGAGTGCGGGAGGGCAGGGGGAGAGTCACTGATAGAATTCACCCCTACTCCATGGCAGGACAGTCCGAATCTTCCTCCCCTCTGCTTGACTAGTTTCTCCCTTTCCTCCCCCCTTCTCTACCCAGCTCCCTCGCCCCTCCCCCCCCTCCCCCCCTCCCCTCTGTCCCCTTCCCCTTCCCCCTGGGTTGGGGGCACAGGTGGGGGGGGCACTCCACGGGCAGGGGCCTTCGGGCCGGCGACACAGACCCCAGCCCAGCGGGTCAGTTTCCTACCCTGGCTCCTGAGCCCTCGGCCTGGTGCTGGAGGAAAACTCCAGACAACAAGCCACCCCTCCCCCCAGGCCAAGGGACCAGGCCCCAGGGCCCCCCTGTGGCTGGCAGGCTGTGGGGGCTGTGGCCACCAGGAGGAGGGTCTCCCCGCGCAGCACCCCCACTCCCCTCCCGAGCGGCCTGCTGGTGTGCCCCTTCTCCTCTCCGGCCCCCTGGGGTTGCACGGTTGTCCCCGGTGGGCAGAGGCAAGGGGTGCCCGAGGGGCTGAGAACCTCAGAGCAGCTGCTCACGGAGACCCCCAGGCCGGAGCCCAGCGGCAGCTCCCAGGAGCGGGAGGAGGGTGGGGGGGGTGGGGGAGGGGCCGGGACCCGGTGCGGGGGAGGGGCCGCCCCGCCCCACCCGCCCTCGGCCTCGGACGTCCTGCCCGCCTGATTTCTGCCCCGGCCGGTTCCCGCGGGTTCAAAGCTCAGCCCCGGCTCCTGGGCAAACACGTGGGTGCGACACCTCTTATCTCCAAGATCGCAGGACGCGCCCGGGGCCTGCCTGTCCCCAGAGCTGCGCCCTCGGCCTGGGGGCGGCCCTGGGTCCCGGGGAGAGTGGCGCCAGGACAGCAGAGGCAGCTGGGGGAGGAGAAGCTTCCGGCTCTTCCCTGGCCTGAACCGGCTGTCTGGGAGTGGGGGGCCCTGCACCCCCCAGCACTGAGCCCAAGCCGGACCCTTCTGGGGTGGCCGCAGGCTCTGCGCCCAGTGACAGCCACCCTGGATCCACTGTCTGCGCCCCCACAACCCTCCCTGAGAGGGGCTGTTACCTGGGGAGGGGTGAGTTCCACACCGGGAGGTCAGGGACACCCACACAGGGACACACAGGACACACAGGGACACACAGGACGCACAGGGACACAGACCTGCACAGGGACACACAGAGACACACAAGGACAAGGACACACAGACCCGCACAAGGACGCACAGGGACACAGATCTGCACAGACCCACACAGACCCGCACAGGGACACACAGATCTGCACAGACCCGCACAGGGACACACAGAGACACACAAGGACACACAGACCCACAGAGGGACACACAAACCTGCACAGACTCGCACAGACCCGCACAGACCCACACGGACCTGCACAGACCCACACAGATCCACACAGACCCACACAGGGACACAGACCTGCATAGACTCGCACAGGGACACACAGACCCACACAGACCCACACAGACCCACACAGACCCGACAGACCCATGCAGACCCACATAGATCCACATAGACCCGCACAGGGACACACAGACCTGTACAGGGACACACAAACCCACACAGACCTACACAGACCCACAGACCCGCACAGAGACACTCCACCAGAGGTCCTCACTGATTCAACTGACACTGCAGCGGGAAGGGGGGGGGAGGGGCGGGGGGGAGCCCAGCCCTGGTCCCTCGTCTGTGCTGCCTCAGCCCTGAGAGCTGCCGTCCGTCCGTCCGTCCGTCCGTGCCTCAGCACTCCATCCTCGCGGGGCACCTGCTTGCAATGGACTTTTTGGCACTGCACGCTCAGAATCCTGTCACTGCGGCCAAATGTCCTGCTTTCTTTCGGGGGGAGGGTGTGCAACCCAGCAGTGCTCGGGGCTGACTCCCGGCTCTGTGCTCAGGGGATCAGACCCCTGGGACCACAGTGCTCCTGTGCAGCCTCCTGGGGGCTGGGCTTGGCCAGGGTTTCCCCACTCCCGACCTGCACCTTAATCCCCACCTCTCTGGCCCGGGCCTCAGCCGGAGAGGTGCTGACTTGGCCCCCGGCCCCCTGGGAGTGCTGGGCCCTGTGTCTGCTCGGGCAGGGGGTCGGGTGGGTCCTCCCAGGCCCCAGGAGGCTCCCACGAGCCCCCGCCAGTCCCGGCTCCCACCGTGAGGAGACTTCTCCTCCTCCCTGCTTTTCTGTTTGGGTTCCGGCCACTTGCCTCTGGGCGCTATGCAGGCCCAGCCCTCAGCCGGGGCCAGCAATTTCTGTAGTTCGTGAGCTGAGTCTGTGCCCCTGGGGTTTCCCGCCACCATTCCCCCGGCCAGGAACCACAGCAGCAGAGTGTGTGTGTGTGTGTGTGTGTGTGTGTGTGTGTGATGGGTGAGCACAGTCAGTGTGTGTATAGGTGTGTGTGTGTATGCGCGTGTGTGTGGGGATACTCATGAGCCTGGAGTCAGTTTATGGGGGGACACAGGTGAGCACAGAGAGTCAGTGTGTGTGTGTGTGACATGGGTGAGCATGGAGAGTCAGTGTGTGTGTGTGTGTGTGTGGTGTGACATGGGTGAGCATGGAGAGTCAGTGTATGTGTGTGTGTGTGTGTGTGTGTGTGACATGGGTGAGCATGGAGAGTCAGTGTGTGTGTGTGTGTGTGTGTGGTGTGACATGGG